CATCGTCGCCATCATCATCGGCAGCATCATCAGCATGAGCATCATCAGCAGCATCATAATCAACAAAATCATCAATCACCATCAACACCATCATCATCGTCATCATCATAATCAGCATCAACAGCAGCATAACAGCATCATAATCAGCAGCAGCAGTATCATCATCATCATTATCACCGCCATCGTCATTATCATCATCAGCATCATCCTAATCATCATCAGCAGCAGCATCAGCATCATCATCGTCAGCAGCAGCATCATCAGCAGTATCATCAGCATCATCAGCAGCATCCTCATTAACCGTCATCATCATCATCCTCACCATCATCATCAGCATCAACATCATGATCATCAGCGTCATCCTCGTAATCCGCATCATAATCAGCAGCAGCATCAGCATCCGCATCACCCGAAGCAACAGAATATCATCGTCATCATCAGCATCATCATCATCAGCGTCATCCGCGTCATCATCGTAATCAGCATCATAATCACCATCAGCAGCAAAATCAGCATCATCAGCAGGAACAGCAACATCACTACCATCGACAGCAGCAGCAACATCAGCGTCATCGTCAGCATCAGCATCACAAGCATCATCATCATCGCCATTAGCAGCAGCATCAGCATCAGCATCAGCATCAGCATCAGCGTCAGCGTCAGCAGCAGCATCATCATCATCATCATCGTCATGTTCGTCCTCGTCCTCCTCGTCCGTCTCCTCAGCCTCCTCCTCCTCCTCCTCCTCCTCCTCCTCGTTCTCCTTCTCCTCCGCCTTTTCCTCCTCCTCATCATCCTCCTCATCCTGTTCCTCCTTCCAAACCTCGGCATCATCCCCCCTCCGCCTCCTCCTCCTCCTCCTCCGCCTCCTCCTCCTCTTCCTCCTCCCCCCCCCCCCCACACCGTATCATCCTCCACGTCATCACCCTCCACCTCTTCATATTCCTTCTCCTCCTCCTCCGCCTCCAGCCCCTGCCCCCACTTATCATCAGCAGCAGCATCAGCATTAGCATCGGCATCAGCACTGGCATTATCATCAGCATCAGAAGCATCAGTAGCCTCATCCTCATCCTCATTATCATCCTCATCATCATCATCAGCATCATCATCATCATCATAAGCAGCATCAGCATCATCATCATAATCAGCATAAGCATCAGCATGATGATCGTCATCAGCATCAGCAGCAGCATCATCATTACCAACATAATCATCATCAGCAGCAGCATCATCATCGTCATCATCGGCATCGTCATCATCAACAGCATCATCAGCATCAGCATCATCATCACCATCATCATCAGCAGCAGTATAATCGTTACAGGCATCATCAGCAGCATCAGCATTATTAGAAGCAGTTGTATCAGTAGTATTACTATTATTAGCGTATTATTACTCGTATTCGCATTAGTACTGTCATCTTAGTACCCACATCATCGTCATTCTCATCATCATCAGCATCAGCATCGTCATCAACAGCAGCAGCATGCTCATCATCATCACCAGCATCAGCAGCAAGATCACAATCATCAGCATCAGCATCAGCGGCAGCATCATGATCATCACCATTACCACCATTACCACCGCCCTCAGCATCTGAATCATCATCATAATCAGCAGCATCATCATCAGAATCATCATCCTTAGCATCAGTATCATCAGTATCATCATCAGCATAATCATCATCATCAGCATCTACATCATCATCATCAGCAGCATCATCATCAGCATCATCATCATCAGCATCATCATCATCATGACCATCATCATCATCAGCAACAGGATCAGCACCAGCATCAGCAGCATCATCGTCATCAGCATCATCAGCAGCAGCATCACCATTAATCATCATTCTCGTAATCATCATCATCATCAGCATCATCAGCGTCAGCATCATCTGAATCACCATCACCATTAAGCGTTATCATCAGAATCATCATCGGCATCAGCATCAGCATCATCACCAGCATCATCACCAGCAGCATCATCATCATCGGCATCAGCATCATCGTCATCATCGTAATCAGCATCGTATTTACCATCAGCAGCAGCATCAGCACCATCAGCAGCAACAGCAACATCAGCATCATCAACAGCAGCAGCAACAGCATCATCATCATCAGCATCATGAGCATCGTCATCATCAGCAGCACCAGCAGCAGCATCAGCATCAGCATCAGCGTCAGCACCATCATCATCACCATCATCATCACCATCATCATCATCATCATCATCATCATCATCATCATCATCATCGTCATGTTAGTCCTCGTCCTCCTCCTCCGTCTCCTAGGCCTCCTCCTCCTCTTCCTCCCTGTCCCCCTCGTCCACCTCCTTCTCCTCATCCTCCTCATCCTGTTCCTCCTTCCAATGTTCATCGGCATCATCCCCCTCCCCTCCCCCTCTTCTTCCTCCTTCTCCTCCTCCTCCTCCTCTTCCTCCTCCTCCTCATCCGCATGTTCCTCCTCCCCCCACCCATCCCACCATACCCTCCTCCACCCCATCACCCTCCTTCTCTTTATATTCATCCTCCTTCTCCGCCTCCGACCCCTGCTCTGCTCCCACTCATCATCAGCAGCAGCACCAGCAACATCATCAGCATCATCGTCGTCGTCGTCGTCGTCATCATCATCATCATCATCATCATCATCATCATCATCAGCATCATCATCGTCATCATCATCTGCATCATCATCACCAGCATCACCATCATCGTCATCATCATCATCGGCATCAGCATCATCGGCAGCATCATCATCATCAGCAGCATCATCATCAGCATCATCAGCATCAGCATCAGCATCAGCATCAGCATCAGCATCATCATCATCATCATCATCATCATCATCATCATCATCATCATCATCATCATCATCTTCATCATCATCAGCATCATCATCATCAACATCATCATTAGCAGCATCATTCTTCTTCCCATCCTCCTGATCCTCATCCTCCTCCTCATCCGCCTCCCCCTCCTCCCCATCCTCCTCCTCCTCCTCCTCCTCCTCCGCCTCCTGCTATTCCTCCGTCTCCTCATCATCATCATGATCAATAACATCATCAGCAGCATCAGCATCATCAGTATCAGCATCAGCAAAAGCAGCATCAGTATCAGCATGGGCATCAGCATAGGCATTATCATCAGCATCAGAATCATTCCCCTCACCACCATCATCAGTATCAGCATCATCATCATCATCATCATCATCATCATCAGCATCATCATCATCATCATCATCATCATCATCATCATCATCGTCATCATCTTC